GTGTGTGTGTGTGTGTGTGTGTGTGTGTGTGTGTGTGTGTGTGTGTGGGAGATAGAGAGAGAGATGTTAGAGGCAGGGAGGCTGTTAGTGATGCTGTACAGAGACAAAGCTTCAATAATAACCTTGCTGGACAAACAATCATAAAGAGGCAAACACTGAAATATTGTTTCTCAGAAAACATGGTCGATATGGAGGAAGGGGGCAGCTTTATTTCAATCCAGCACCACAACTTCCATCAGATTTAGATAGCATATGAATTCCCACATAATGCTGCGCTCACAAATATGTTTACAACTTAGGGACTCCTGAATGCTTTCAGTATAAATATTCTATATTTCGGTTACTTTCACAGAAACAATAACCTCAATGTTGTTTATTGGAGTAAGTCAAGATAAGTCTTTAAAGCAGCTTCATGTAGGCACCAAAATTAGAGGTACAAACTGTAAACATGCTTCATGGCAAGAAGAAGCCCTGCTGGCACCGATAACACCCACAACAGGAATAAGACGATAGCATTCTTTATTGTGGGGCCACTGAGTAACTTTATTGGAGCAGTTGGGGTTTAAGTGCCCTGTTTATGGACAAATTGACAACAGTGGTGGAGAGCTGGCAGAGTCTGTTACTCTCCACGCCAGCCTATTTGCAACTGATTGGGCTGCTGTTGACACTTTTAAGCAGGTAACCTATGAGCTTTAATGGTTTTTTTCCCAACCCTGCTTTTAATGCGTAAATGATTTGGATGGATAAATCAATGTGAATCTGATGTGCAGAGAGTGTAGACTGTTGTTTTAATCATGCCTATTAAGCTTTATTGCACTACCATGCATGTGCAGGTCAAAGCCACACACTCTGATGCAAAAAATTACATTTTGGCACATATTTCTACCTCTTCGACTGAATGACATTGGAAAAGCCTCAGGCACCACAATGATGAAGGCAAGAGAGCCAAAAACAATTGCTGAATAAAGCATGGCGTGCTGGAGAGGAGTTGTTTGATGTGTTTTAATTTTTAAGAAAGGCCTCTAAATTATCTATTACATTCCAATCAGGTGTACAAACATGAAACCCAAATTGAATATTTATTTTTAGTGGTGAAAAGCCCACATGAATTACAAATGTCCTCTAAGTAGTAATAACATTGTATTATAAAGAGAAACTCAAAACATCACATGGTTGAGAAGCACTAACATGCAAAGTGAATTAAAAAGGTGCAGCTCTTCGTTGTTTGCGACACCTCGTGTGGTTTGAAAAGCATCATTACCCTCTGGGTTAGTACAGGACAATGGCAGGGTCACATTGCACAAACAGAACAAATGCAAACTTTCCTCGACTCGTTGTCAAGCTGATGCACAAGGATTTCTGCAGGTAATTTGTAAATCGACTGTGAATCACAAGTCGAATCACATGAGTGGATCGTATGTCCAGCTGCTTTGGCTGAACAGTAGTTGCCTTTGAAATAAGGCTCGGAACTAGAGATCGAAAGCGGAAGAATGTTTGCTAGGATGCATCAAGAGTCCATATGTTCATGATAATGCACACCAGCACAACGTTTCACAGGCTCAAGCATCCCATGGTTTTAGACAGAGCACTCGTGAAAATCAACTCTTTGCACCTTTTTTGCACATATTGTTGTTGTTTTTTCCAGGATAACCATAGCTATAAAACCATAGCTATAAAATAAAGACACATTTTTTCAGGGAAAACGGCTGCATTCAAAATATATGCTGGATAATATCCTTATGTTTGGTGTTGTTGATTTAACAAGAACTTCATGTTCATGTGTGTTTATTATGGGGAACAGCTTGGATTCTTGGAGTTTGCTCAAAGAATCGGTGCCAATGTGCCTAATGTGTGTCCACCCTAAAGGAATCTTATGCACACACACATACATTCATGCATGCATACCAGAAATTAGAATAATAAGTCGTGCATTTGCCCACATCATGCGTCCTCCAGCATTCATCATATTCCAGTTATTGATCATTATTTGTATTTCTAGCCTCATATCTGAATCTTATCCCAACCACTTCACCCACAGTTTGTGCAAACAGTGATGTATGGCCCCTGTATCCTTCATGATTGATTGCATCTTTGCTGCTGACTCGCTTTAAAACAGACTGTACCTTCTTAATTCGCCTGAGTTGTTCTTACCAGAGTTAGGGTTTCTCCCTCTCCCTCTCTCTCCAGGTTTAATTTTGTTTGTTGTGTGAGTGGGAGTAGATGGTGATTATTTAACGCTGAGACGAAATAGCTCCGTGTTACTTTGAACATCTGTGTCACATACATACACACACACATGAAAAGATTCTTCATTTTACCTCTAACTTTTGATTTAATATAAAAGCCTACTTTTCTGAAGGTATGTGTCTGAAAGAATTAGAGCCAAGTATCTCCGGGTTCCCCGTGTGACAAGGGAAGCAATCTGTTTTCATGAGCTCAGGTCCCAGGGCTAAAGATTAAATTGCTTATTTGGATCCTGGGTTGAAAAAGTTTTCCGTAAGTACCTCTGAGGGCTATAGCAGTGTGGAAAAAAAGGTTCTCCAGAGCTTTTCTGAACTCTTCCTTTCACTGAGAGAATCAAAGGTCAGCTTGTGTTCATATGTAAGCTCTGTTCATAGCCAATAGTTGCTGTGAAGAGATGGTAATGGATGTTTTGGGAGCAAAGCAGCTGGCATGGTAGACTAGCAGTATTTTGTGGTTTGTTTTTAACGCCAAAGTCTCAGTCATTTTGTTGAGTTGAACTGTGTTCAACAGAAAGATGAATATAATTATATTGCTTTTCAAGTTATGCAAATAAAATAGCAAAGACGTCAGTTATTGAGTCATCCAAGTCAGCTCCAGATCTTGGTCTGAAAAAGATGAAAAACACTTTGCTCTTCGTACTCTATTTCAACCTTCACGTCTTTTCTCTTGTGTCTCCAGTTCCAGCCAACATCTACAAGGTGTCAGAAGACATCACGGTGAACGAGGGCAGCAACGTGACACTCAGTTGTTTGGCCAGTGGCAGGCCGGACCCTGCAATCACCTGGCGGCTGCTCAACCCCTCAGGTAAGAATCGTTTAATCGGTACTCATTATCATTTGTGTCAGTCTACATTCCTGGCCAGTAGGTGCCAGACTTTTTCATCATCTAACTTACAAGTTTGTTGTTGTTTTTTTAAGTCAATCTAAATCAGGCAAAATTAACTGTGGTGGATGCAATATGTAAATGTTACACAGACAAATTATTACATTATTCAGATATTGTGCTCTGCACAGATACAAACCGTGGATGTATAAAAATAACACACTTTTTAAAACTGTAGATCTTGGTTCAAAATCATCAGATTCCAACTTTTTCTTAAATATCAAGGTATTCCTGTGAATGCCATCCGGAAAGTGTAAACAGGAAAGTGCCAGCAGCCAGAGCAACATGTATTTCTATGTCTTCACCTCATTCGTGGGCCGAAGCAGGATTCACTGATGTTCACATATGTTGTCATTTTTACCTCTTGGTCTGATATTGTGTGCGACTTGACTGTAGACAGAAACTGAAGAGCTGAATTGAGGGGGGCATCTCAAAAGTGCATGGGAATTAGTCAAGAGATCTTTAGTCAATAGCTTTCTCAAATTTTTTCACACACTTCAAATGAGACTTCCTCTTGACCTCCTTCCTCAGCATGCGCAGCCTCCTTTTTTATCTGTGCAAACAGGTTTTATCAATATGTGCAGAGATATTTCTTCTTTGTGAGCACTTTAGCTCAGAGATATGAGGAGTTTAAAGGGCATAAGAGAAAACACAGAAGCGGAACCTGCCCACATCCGCTAAATTCTGAATGCTGTTAAAAATACTGGTATTGACAGATACGTTTACAGCTAGGGTGGGTTTATCTTTCCTTGGGTTGAGTCTCTTATGTAATAAGTTCTCATGTAGGATAGCCATGTTGCTGTTTGTACATGCTATCAAAGTGTGTACAGGCAGTGTGCCAGTACATCTCTCTATATATGTGCATTCGGATTAGTGGAGATACCGCTGCTTTGGCGTCTTATCCAATTTTTAGAGAAAGTATATAATGCCCCCCACTGCTGATAAGCTTGTAGAATGATGGATGGAGATGCTCGAGCTGACATCTCAGTTTGATAACAGCTTTTTTGCAGATTGAAAAACCATTCTATTTGTATGTCTTCATCAATTACTGCATCCGTTTTTCAGCGCTCCAGACGTGTTCCATCAAATATGTCTCCTGCAGTTGGAAGCTGAACATATTGGATAGGTGTACTTGCTTCTTTTGGCTGTTTGCATTAAAGGAGAGTGATCTGTTCAACTTAATCCTGCGAGCCATACGGATCCGACGGGCTGCTTTACGGTGCTGTGTTGAAAACCAGAAGATTCCCTTTCCTTTTCTTCCTGTGAAACTGAAGTTGAACCCTCCAGGTTCAGATGGCTCACTGGAGGAAAAGCCCCTTTGCAGGTTTTAACAGCTTTTGTTCCAAGAATATGGACGAAGACGTGGATATAGAGTGAAGGAAAAAGCAATATCTAATAGTAGATTTCTCAATGGAGTAGGCCTTACTAACTACTCCCTCTGCAAGTTCTCTACAATGTCTTCTATAAAGTAGCTTTTCTTTAAATTTTTCTCTTTTTCAGTGTTTTGTTTAATTCGTGGGCAGACCACCTTCGACAAGTCTTTGTTCTTTACTGGAACAGTGTGAATGGTGAAACAGTGTGACGGAAGGAAAATCCTGTCAGCTCCTGGCAGGATTGGGTTTTGAAAGTCTACAAAGTGGCTCCAGAGATGGGGGGTCCCACACCATTTGCAAACACTGCAACTGTTGTTATTTTTGTTGTGGTTGTGCGGGTATCTTTCACCTCCAGAATCCATAAGCCCAGCCCAGTTTGAGAGCATGTGGGGGACTGCTGAGAGAGATAATGATGTCTGGCAACCTGTGGTCTCACTGCTTCACGCCTTCGCCTGCCTGAGCAGTAACGCTGCTTCGCTCAACTAGCGAGGCTCTTAACATATGGCTGGGACCACAGATGTCCATGAGTCCCAAAATGCTATTCCAAATCAAGACTTGAGTCTTCTACAGAGCGGGGATCAAGATCAAGTGTGGAGTATTTCCACGGATTTCACTGGAAATTACCTTTAATGTAAGAGTAATGAGTAAAGAGTAATTCAAGAGTAATGCAGTAACAGTACATTTAGGCCAGGAAAAGGCAAAGTGGGCATTCATATTATAAGCGGCAGCTAAAGAATTAACTGTTCCCTTACTAAGGTGAACTAAGTTGCCCAATATTGCATCTTTTGACTAACAATGCTAAGGCTACCATTTGCTTACCTTGCACATCAGCCGGATTTTCACGATGTCACAAGATCACACCAGAATCACATGATCACGTACCACACAAAAATCCATCTTGTCAAGCGTTGCTTTGGGTGTTTGTGACGACACAGAGAGGCGTCTGTTCTTTCTAAAGAGCAATGGCGGCCCTTAAAGAGGTTAATGCCCCTAAAACTGATGCTGCAATAGCAATAATGCTGCAATAGTATCAGTTTTATCAGAACTGGAGAATATGTCTTCATTGAAGGAGAGCAAAGAATCACAAACCATCCGGAGGGTCAAGTTAACCTTTTGCCACTTCAATGGAAAGAGACATTTGATTAGTAAAATCAAAATCATGCAGCAAGCATCCACTCATTCAGAACAGCCAAGCATCCAGAACAGCAGTGTCATAAGGTCAGGGCTAGCGCTAATGGCTAATTACACTGAACGGAGACTGTTGGTTTGTACAGTAGTGCTGTAGCTGCAACGGTGCCCATTCATTTATTAGGTAAGGTTGTTAAAAACATATTTACCAATCTTTGAATGACTTTTATATGTCATTATTAAGAAGCTCATAAATCCTATGTGACTTGAGTATGAGTCATAGATTTGATTGCCAAAATCTGGCTGTAGCTCATTCTTGCATAACCACATGCATATTCATCTTCAGATTGATGACTTTGTGCACAAAAGTGGGAAAATCCAATAGTACTCGCACCCTCAAGTGACAACATTGTGTCTAAGATAGCAGTGACAGAGCACCAACAGATGCAAACACACTCATACAGAATACATTTAAAACAAGGGCACTAATAGTATCTTCTTCAAGTCACATGACAACAGGCCTCTAGATTAATGACAGCCACCCAGGGATGTTGGTCTGTCAGACGTACGTCTTTTGAACTGGAAATCCTCTTTCTCTAATGAGAAGTGATTGTAAGAAAAACAATGTTCGTGGCCTTCATATCAGAACAAACTCTGCCTTACTGTTTGTACTATAAAGACGTGTTGACACCTTTTCACATTAAGAAAAACCCCATGGGAAACTATTCCTCAAGAAGCTACAGCTGTAAACAAACAGTTCCTGCTGTATATAGTGTACTGTAGCTTGCAAACATGTTTGAAAAGCTCCAACCAAAAACTGAAATTGCAATAGATGCCAATGGTGAAGCTAAGGGAGTGAGCAAAAAAAGTGTGCTTCATATCAAACTGACAAAACTGTAAAAACTCTATAATTAACTAAATACCGTAGCCAAACTGACAATAACAATCTAGAAAGTCATCAAACTGAAGTGTGTCTGTAGTCAGCTCTTGAATACATCTGTTGAAAGAAATATTTGTCTGTAGAAGCCTGAAGCAATCCCATACAATTCATATAACCTGAGTGACAAACGATGCCTTCAACGCTGGAGTTAAATGCGTTCAGCTAACAGTCTCAATTGGTATTCCATCGCAGGATTTGTTGATGAGATAGTTAATAGCAGGGTTTCTCAGGGTGTCCACATTGATTACAGCTGTCATCTGTTTCTACAAGCTGAAACTGCACTTTCTCAGCTCTGCACAATCTTATTTCTCTGCTATTGTTGCCTCCGTCGCTCAGTTATCAAGAAGCTAATTAGATCATAACTGACGTGTTAGGTTTCTTAATGACGAAATGGCATGCTGGATGGATTCAAAGATTAACAGAATGCGCATTTTCAGCGCTGGGGATATATGTATATACATAATTAGACTCCATCAAAGATAGTCTTTGTGTCATTGAGACATGAGGTCAGGCAGGTTATTGCTTGCACATCACTGAGCTACATTTGTAATTAAGTGATTGTGGGACTGAATTTAATGAATTTTCCCAAGGTCTGGTAATATATTGCCGGAGCAGGTCTGATGCAGGGATTTTTGAACCTGCTGTGTCGAGACTACAGAGAACCATCAGATGGAATGCGTAATACTGTGGCTTGGTAAATATTACAGCCCTCTGAGCATGATAAAAGATGACAATGAGACAGCAGATACTTCATTATGAGTAAGGACGTGGACATCTGCAGGCAGGGCAAACAAGGTGCTCATTAAAGCGGTACATGCACCGGTTCACCCCAAGTGGTTTTATTTGTTGTTAGGCTTACATCGCCAACGCAGATAACAAGCAAAAGTGTAACAATTACCACTACCAAAAAATAATAGCCTCAACGGAACTGAGTGTGATTATTAACCTGTTCTTTCAGACACTCGGGAGTAAATTCACAAAGAATGGATTGAGCTACCCGCCCCATATCAAGGTCCGTGCACTTACAGTGCATCCGGAAAGTATTCACAGCGCTTCACTTTTTCCACATTTTGTTATGTTACAGCCTTATTCCAAAATGGATTAAATTCATTATTTTCCTCAACATTCTACACACAACAACCCATACTGACAAAGTGAAAACTGTTTTTTGCAAATTTTTGCAAATCTATTAAAAATAAAGAACGAAAACATAACATGTACATACTGTAAGTATTCACAGCCTTTGCTCAATACTTTGTTGAAGCACCTTTGGCAGCAATTACAGCCTCAAGTCTTCTTGGGTATGATTCCACAAGCTTGGCACACCTATTTCTGGGCAGTTTCTCCCATTCTTCTTTGCAGAACCTCTCAAGTTCCATCAGGTTGGATGGGGAGCGTCGGTGCACAGCCATTTTCAGATCTCTCCAGAGATGTTCAATCGGGTTCAAGTCAGGGCTCTGGCTGGGCCACTCAAGGACATT